GTGTGGTCAAGGGGAATAAGGCTGAGGGTGCAGGGGGCCAGGGCTGAGTGCATACAGTTGTAGAAGTGTGGACTGGTGTGGCAGTGCTCAGGGCGTGGCCAAGGGGCCTCAATGGAGGTCTGAAGGTGTTGGGGAAGTGTGCTTTGGTGCAGGGCATAGGGTGAGGATCACAGGGCCAAGACCACAGTCCCACTCACCAACATGCCTTTGGGGGCTCATAACTCTACAACCCCCACCCTAGGTGAGCCCTCCAATCTCCTGCTCTTCTTAAACTCCACAGACTGTGAGGTTACAGCCCCAATGGGTGGCAAGGGGCCAGGAAGCCACGGTTGTGCCCCAGGCACTGGGAGTGCTGGTGTGCCCCACCCCTGGGCCCCTGTTTCCCAGCCCAGCCCAGCCCAGCAGCACTGGGAGCTTCTCGCTGAGCCGCCCTCACACCATCCTGCCCTTAGCAACATTCTCCAAGCAGCACCACCCTCCCTTAGCAACCGTCTCCAGGCTTCACAAACTGTGGCCAGGCCAGCCCCAGGCTCCCGCTCCCATCATGTTTTTGTTTAACAGCAAATAGTAACAAGGTCCTGGCTGGGCCAGCTGCACCCCTGCCTAGGGCATGCACCCCTGCCTGTGCTCTGGCTCCTTTCTCAGCCTGGGCTGGGTCTTGCTGGGTCCTCATGACCCTGACAAAGAGAGTCCTTACTAAATACCTGCCCAACTAGCAGCCTAGCCTGGCCCTGACCCAGCTTGGCATGGAACTCCCAGGGAGGGTGGCCTGCTCTGCCACCCTCATTTCCACCCAAGCAGGCCTTGTGCCAGAGCCAGACAAAGCCATGGCCCCAGCTGCTGCCCTCACAGTCTTTCTGGACAGTGCCATTCTGTTCCCAGCCTGGTGTGAGCATCATGATTTCATCTTCTGAACGCCACTCCAAGCCATGGCTGGCATTAAGCAACAGGACCTTTCCTCTTGGGGCTCTTCCTCAGGGCTCGGGGGCCCAGGGAGACACTGAATGCTGGCCCCTCTCCCCAGGCAGCTCCAGCTCCAGCTCTGAGGATATGTAGCCTAAGTGCCCACAACTCAGACCTTGCGGGTGTTGAGGTAGAGGCACTGATGTTCTGTGCCTTGGGGAGGGGAGGGGCAGCTTGACTGGAAGTGACGAAGGTGGGTCCCTACAGGGTGGCATGGCAGCGAGCACAGACGTGGCTGGCCTGGAAGAGAGCTTCCGCAAGTTTGCCATCCATGGTGACCCCAAGGCCAGTGGGCAAGAGATGAATGGCAAGAACTGGGCCAAGCTGTGCAAGGACTGCAAGGTGGCTGATGGGAAGGCCGTGACAGGGACGGACGTCGACATCGTCTTCTCCAAAGTCAAGTGAGCCTCAGGCTGTCCTTGCTTCTGATGTTCCCAGAAGGTGGGGAATTGGGGGGCTGGAAGCAGGGAGGACATGGAGAAGGGGGAAAACTCATGGTGCCCACATACCTGGCAGGGGGAAGTCTGCTCGGGTCATCAACTATGAGGAGTTCAAGAAGGCCCTAGAAGAGCTGTCAATCAAGCGATTCAAGGGGAAGGGCAAGGAGGAGGCCTTCGATGCCATCTGCCAGCTGGTAGCAGGCAAGGAACCGGCCAACGTGGGCATCACCGTAAGTGCCCTCCTGGTCTTCGGTAGCCATTGAGGGGGATGTGGGGATTCTCAGCTGGGGGTGGGATGGGATGGGCTCCCTAACCAGGTATTCCTGGGGGAACTCTGTCCTAACAGAAAGCAAAAGCAGTGGGTGCTGTGGAACGGCTGACCGATCCCAGCAAGTATACTGGCTCTCACAAGGAACGCTTCGACGAGAGCGGCAAGGGCAAGGGCATTGCTGGGCGTCAGGACATCCTGGATGACAGTGGCTATGTGAGTGCCTACAAGAATGCAGGCACCTATGATGCCAAGGTGAAGAAGTGAGGCCTGGGAAGGCCCCCCAGCGCGGCTGCCCCCACCAGAGGCTCAGGCCTGGGCCTAAGGGGCATGTGGAGCAAGAGAGCCCAGTCCCCTCCCTGCTGGACTTGCCACCTAGAGCTTCCTGCCCAGCCCCATGGGGCCAGCCCACCAGGCCTCTGACCCAGGCTGCTCTGTGTCCCCTTCCCCTTCCTCTTTTCTCCATGACTTCTTGTCACTCTGAGGAGAATCTGTGCCTATAGCCTCACCGCCCCAACCTAGCCCCGGGCATGGCTAACTGCTGCCTGCTTGCCTCATATTTAAGCTACTGCTCTGGCCAAGTGCCTAATTCTTACCCATACCTCAATAAAGACACCTTTTGTATCAATATGGCCTGGTCAGGTATATGATGATGGGTATAATGACATTCACAACCCCTCAGTGTCACCATCGCCCTGTGTGTCACACTGCTGATCCTCCCACTGGTAGCCCTGCCCAGAAAGAATAGCCGTGCCTTCCATCAGTACAGAGCCAGACTGCCTGAGGATGCTCTTTAGGGAAATCCAAAGCGTTTTACCTTAGCCCTGACCCAGAATTCTAACATCACAGCTTGCCTTCCTGCAGTTAGGGCCTCAGTCTTGGCCTCTCCACTTTCACAGCAGCAGGAAGGATGAGACAGCAGATTTGGCCTGGGTTAAATGTTGGCAGGGGCCCAGTACCAGGCCTCGGGCTCTCAGCCTGCTGACAGGCTCCTATTCCGGGGGGCTACCAAAATGAGTCATTTTGGGCTCCAGCTCAGAATATCAGAAAATGTAGGACCAGGAAGAACCTTAGACAGTAGACAGACAGTCCAACTCCTTAATTTTACAACTGAGAAAACTGAAGTCCAAAGAGTTAAGGGGCTTCTGTAGAACAGAGGCCAGAACCATGCCTCTTGCCTCCCAGGCCAGGCTCTTTCTAACAGCACGCTCCAACATGATTTCCAAAAATGGGACTGGATGGCTAGTGATAGAGCCTGGCACCCAACACCAGCCTTTGGCAGATGAACATGGCATCAAACAATGAAGGGGTCTCTCCATGCTGACTCCCTCCCATCTGTTCAATATCCCAGGTTGGGAAGAGGGTGAGGAGGGCTCCTGAGGACTCCTGTGAGTTTCAGATTAACTTTTTCCTCTCTGAGGTTCTGGGTGTTAGGCCAGAGCTATTCCCAAGCCCAAGGCTTTGGGGCCAAGTCTCCTTCCTTCCTGCTGACAAACAGGCTTGATGGGACTGAAGGCCTTCCCAATAGAGGACAGCTCCCCAGGGTGCTAGAAAAGGCTTAGGGGCACATGCTTACAGACACCTTCTTTCCCAACCCTGTTAACAAGGCAAAGTAGCGCAACTGCTTAGTCCCTCATCCCACAGGCTGTTCAGGAATGTTCCTGCCCCCGGTGGACCCACAGTCCCTTGAGTCCAAGTTCTCTTGGGAGTCTGGGTGTAGGGGAATAGTGTAGCTCGGGACAGGGATGCTGGGGAGATGAGAGCGGAAGACCAACGCCAGGCCACAGCAAAGTCTTGCCTAACAGCTGACAGCTGTAGGCTCCTCCTGCCGTGGCTAACCACGAACCCTTCACTTCCCAGGGAAGAGCCTCAGAGAGCTCTACTTCTCCCACCAGCAAATAGGAGGAGGAACGATTCCTCTAGCCTTGGGGAATTTGTTTAAATTGTAGGCTTACTTAAAGGAGCACAATTGGAGTGAAACCCAAATACTTCTGGCTTTCACTTGCTAAAATATCCTCATAATGAAAAGAATTTAACTGGATTGCAAATTGGTCCACGCTATTAAGCGATTAAGCTGCAGGTGAGAGTACCAGCCAATGTGTAGGGGAGCTGAGGCTGGGCCCCACCTGTGACTGGCAGTGTGGCTTAAAGGAACCCAGAGAGAGAACTGGCTGAGTCCTGAAACTACCTTGCAGGAGTAAAGCCCCCTTTTCTTCTTGAAAAGTGTTCAGGGAGCCTGAAGGAAATCAAGGCCCACCCAGACCCAGGAAGACCCTTAAATACCAATGGGTCTACTAACAGAACCTGGTATAGGGCAGCGACTGACCAAAAAGGTCACTTCGGCCCTTCAGTTATCACTGCTCCACCCCACCTATAGCCTCCTCATGGTGGAAAGCTTTGGGTACCCTTGCTAGCAAAGCCAGGTGGGCAAGGAAGAGAGGTTAGGATCTGTGGGATGGAGCCATTAAAACCCTCTATGTATAGTTGGTGGGAAGGCCAAATCTGTCAGTGGCTCTGTCCCTCTTAGACACAACTTCCCTGAGGACCGAGCTCTGTTTCCTCCTTTCTCCCAATAGTGCCAGGCCTAGAGTGAGGAATTCCTCCCCACTTGTTTTCTACTTGCTTTAGGAGCCTTCCCCCTTCCATGTTGAACCCACTTAGCACCAAAGGGCAACAATTCTTTGGCCCTTCCCTTGACACCCCCAATTCCCTACCCCTGCCCTCTGGACCAAGGGCCACACAGGGAAAATCAGAAACACCATGACCCACATCTTCCAAGTTCTCTCCCCCCCCCCCCCCCGCCCCACTCCCTCTGTCTCTACAAGATATCCTTAGGTTTCTGTTTAGACCTGTTTGGTGCCAAGCTTTAAACTCTATCACATGAGTTTTTGCTTTCCTTCCCAACTATATCTCCAGGGCAGACACCAGAACTTGTCACTTTTTCACTATGGTGGGAGTAAACTCAAAACATGTTTGATGAACCAATCGATATAAATTTGCTGAAATTTCTTCTAAAACAGAACACACCTGGCTATGGATGTTCTTTTTTTGACCTCCTACCACACAGTTTCAAGTGACACTTGGGAAAAATGTCTAGTGTTTTTTCCCTTTTCGATATTTTCAGCCAAATGTCTCTGTGTGATATGATGCTAGGACCAAGTGTCAACTATTTCTGTCGGCAGAAGGAAAGAATGACTTGATGGGAGGAGATAAAAAGAGAAATAAAGAGAAGGACCAATACAATGTAATCAGAATAATATGTTTTCTTGATCTTGTGGGTAAATACCACAATACTGGTGGCAATGGCACTGAGAGCCCCCCGTGGCTGAGAAGGAAGCTGCAGAGAAGGTGTTCTGTGCTAGCTCCATAAACTAGGCTCTGGAACAGAGTCTGAGACACTCTGTATTACGTACTGACCCGTGTCATGTGCCATTGGTGAGGAGGAAGACAGCGTGCTTTTCCCAAAGGGTGACGATCTCCCCAAATGATTACTCTTCTCAGGAGGCAGGAGTGCTTTCCCAGAATAACCTTTTTGCTCTTTGTTCAGCTGCTGCAGCAGATACTCATTAGTGACCACCAGGGATCTGAGGCACAGGGGAAAAGGCAGCCAGAAATCATAAAAGCAAAGTAGATGACATTCAGACCTGAAATGTTTGCTAAAGACAAATGCAAAATGAAGTAACATCTGTAAATAGAAAGAACTATCCGATTTATGAGTGGGTTGTTTTAAAAGCAGGCTGACAGTTTCTTTCTTCATTACAGTTCTGTTTTAATATGTTCCATGCTGATTGTAGCAGTAACATAGTTCACATTTTATATTGTGATTGTTCTATTCTTTCCAAAGCACTTGCATGATGAGGTAATAGAAGCACTGGGAGATTGGCACCTGACCAGGCCTCCAAATTCTATCTCCAGATCTTAACTTCTACTTCTAATCTATCCTGCATCTGTAATTATCTAGTGGTGTTAGTCATGGCTGTATTCTTGGACTCTGTATTACCTGTAATGTTAAAAGCCAAAAGAGACTGGCCAAAAAAAGAAAAAAAAAAAGAGGCATGCACAATGCTATCCATTGCAGCACTGTATGTAACAGCAATATACTGTCAATCTAAATGCCTATCAACAGAGGACTGATTAAATAAACACACAGTGGAGTCCTGTGCAGCTATAAAAAGGAATGAGAACTTTACATACCAGTGGGAACTGATTATTAAGATAAAATGTTAAAGTACCATGAAGCCTCTTTTTATATAATAGAGGGTAATACAAATACACACCCACACCTACATTGGAAGGCTAGTGGGAGGGAAGGGAAAGATAGAAGAGACAGTAAGGAAAATAGATTTATCTGAATTTATCTTATTTTATAGATTTGACCTTGGGATGTACATGTTTTACATAATTATAAAATAAGATTAGATCAAAGTAATAAAAAATTCTGTATGAATCAAAAGCAAATAGAAACAAATTGAACCTGTATATTGAATTGATGGTTTAACAACACAGAGAAGAATTATTTCAAGTTCCTTTAACATACAGCAATTTGACGTATGTCACTCAAGAGATATACCCTAATGTTCTCAAAGTGTGGTCCCAAGACCAGCTGCAGCAGCATCACCTAGAAACTTATTAGAAATGCAAATTCTCAGTTCCCAACCCATACCTGCTGAATGAGAAACTCAGGGTGGGGGTGGGAGTGGAGGTGGGGGAGAGTTTCAACAAGTTTTTCAGGTAATTCTGATGCTCACCCGAGTTTGAGAACCATGACTTTATGCTACTTGCTCTACTTTTGTATAATATATGTTTGAACTAATTATAATGAAAAGCTAAAAAAATTAAAAAGCGATCCAAAATGGGTCTGGGTCTAATCCTAATACAAAGTTATTCCAAGGAAAATCAGGAAGTGAAGTTTGGGGCTAAAGGTTTGGGGATGTGGCTCTTTTATTTAAAATTCATGGGAAGTCCTAGTATAGGTGTTTGGTTAATCAAAATGTCCAGGGCTTCTCTAAATGTACTAATAGTCTTGAGGCCTTTTCTGATTTGTCTTTCCTGCACTCCAGGGATATTGTTCTTTGAAGAGGCTGATGCTATTGAGCTCCTCTGAAGAGAACATGTACATTAGATTCTTCCCCTATCATTCTCTCTCAGTGCTCAGGTGAATCTTCTGTGACCAATAGCAGGCAGACATTTTCCAGAAGAGCCAGATGACTGATTTTAGGGGCCCACTAGCTAGTTGACTCAAACAAGGGTCCTGTTGGATCCAGAGAGAAACTACTTATTATTGAGGTATTGCAACCCATCAATTCCAGCAAAGACATTTAGTCTCTGGTGTGTCCTGGAAAGCAGTACTTTGATCCCTGAACTAGCTGGCCTAGATACAAGTGGTTTACACACAATAATATGGAGTTAATTTGAAAAGTATACAGATATTAACTTGCCAGTAAAACAAAGGAGTAAAGAGAAACAGGCATTTGCTTCCAGAAGCCAGCTAGATAGATCCACTCTTACCTCTGACTTTCATGGAGAAGGGCCACTGTCTCCTCCAACTTTTTCAGCTGGGCAAGCTCCTGGTTCAGGCAAGCCATCTGCATGTTCAACTGTTGGTTTTTGCGCAGAAGATCATCTGCAGAGAATATAGTAGCCAGAGGTGAGCAGGATTTCAAGCAGCTAGTCTTTGAGCAGAGCTGAAGTAGTCAGGTGGACAACTTGAAGAATTGGGAGCACCCCACTGCACCCACCTCCACACTCCATTCACCATCCCCTCCCTTTGAGACAGCAGATATGGTGACAAGAATATGGAATTTAACAACAAACAAAATCTGAATTAAAATTCAGCCACTTAATATCATACGTGTTAGTTCACTGTTCTGAGGTTCACTAGAGCTAATAACCCTGCTCCATAGCACTATTATGAAGATTCAATGAGATGGCTGTCCTCATTTAGCATAGGAAGTCAACAAATATTAGGTCTCTGTATTCTCCATTTTAGTTTATGAATGTATGTCTTTCACTCCTTGTGAAGTATGTGAGAACATCTAGAACTGCATCAGGTACATAGTAATAACTCAATGCCAATGAGTGCTTGCAGAAACTGAATTTGTAACCAAGACACTCAGACCTAGCTTCCCAAATGTTATCACTGCCTACAATAATGAGGTAGGTAAAAGCATGGGAACTCTGGCCCTAAGGAAATCAGTACTTCTTTAACTTTAATATGTTTACTGATCACCTGGGGATCTTGTTAAAAAGTAAGCTGATTCAGTAGGTCTGAGGTGTGGCCCAATATTCTACATGTCTAACAAGCTCCCAGGTGTTGCTAATGTTGCTGTGGATCACTCTTTGAGTAGCAAGGTTCTGGAATGTGGAAAATAGGACTGCAACAGCTGTATTTATCACCTGAGCCAAAATCCAGTACTGGGCCTCATGGCTGATAGAAAGTAGGTATCTAGTGAACAAACATTGCCCTATTTTCAGAGTGGGTAAGTGGAGATGCCTTGATTATTCAGGCTTGTAAAATCAGGTTGTGATGAGACTGAACTCTGGAAATTCAGTGCTGACTTCCATATCAAGTTCCTCATATAAATCAAAATGCCCATGTTTGCTTAGCTTAGGGTTGCTGAGCTAGAGGTTTAAAGTCAAGGGTAGACTTTAATCTAAAATACTGGCCTAAACTATCAGGGGTGCCAAAAAAAAAAGTATACACATGATTTGTATTCATCTTTTGTTATCAGTATATATTGAGTATTACAATTTTAATACAATTTTCTTTTGTTAAAATGTGTATACATTTTTTTGGCACCCTCTATATATTAATAATAAAGTAGTACAAATCAAAACTTCAGTGGGATAGGGCTGGCCGAGTGGCGCGATGGTTAAGAACTGGCTTGGGACACCAGAGGGCCCCGGTTCGGATCCCACATATGAGGGCCAGTGACACTGTCCTCTACAAAAAACAATAAACAAAAACAAAAACTTCAGTGGGATATTATTTTTCACTTACCACCACGGCAAAAATTTTAAAAATTAACCAGTGTGGGCAAGGATGGAGTGAAAAGGGCATTAAAATACACTCATTGCTGATGTGAGTGTAAACTGAAAAACCTTTATTGGGAGAGATTTGGCAATGTGTAACAAAAGCTTCAAAAATATTCACATCTTTTGACCCACTAATTCTACTTCTAGGAATGTCTCCTAGGAAAATAGTTTGAAATGTACACAAAGACTTATGCACATAGATATTAATAGCTGCAATATTTATCATAGTATAAATATTAGGATTCTCAGTTCCACCAGAAGGGAAGAAAGGCAATCTCAGAGAAGCATTTTCACTCTAGTATCTTTGCTTTCATTTCAGGTCTTTTGAATGTTTGGAAACTCCTTTAAATTATTTATATTATAAATAATGGCAGCTTTATTTATAATAGCTAACATTAAAAACAACTACATAGAGGACCAGATAGATAAATATGGTATATTCATGTGGCATTTATATATATATATATATATATATATATATATATATATATACACAAGCCTGAATATATATATATATATATATATATATATATATGAAATGCCTATACTATTAAATTAATAACATTAGAATGTGGAAATCAGATTATTGATTGCCTAAGGTATACAGTAGGCGAAACTGACTGCACAAGGGTCTGAGGGAAATTTCTGGAGTAACAGAAATGTTCTATATTTTGATTGGGATGGAATTAAATGAATGTATATATTTTTAAAAACTTAGAATGTGTGCATTTTGTTGTATGTAAATTACTTTTTAAAAAATCAAGACACAAATTTTAATTTTGAGTTAAAAATGTATGTATACATTTAAAGAAAATATACCAGAAACACTAATGGTAGTTATTGCTGGGTAGTGGGGTTTTATTTTCCTTATATTTTTCAAACTTTCTATAAAGAACACAATCTTCTGCTATAATCATAAAAAAAGTTCATTCTCAAAAATAACAACATTTGTGTTTGCTTTACACCGACAAAGAGCTCCATCTGGTAACTCAAGCCACCTGCATTACAACTCTCTAAGGCAAGATGATTGTTTCCATTTAGGAAGCCAGGTGAGCTCTAGATGATGAAGCTTATTAAACAGGTCACCTATAAACAAACAATTGTCTTGGGACACATCACACGTTTCTTTCCTGAACTTACCATAAGTGTGGGACTGGTGCCCACTCACAATTGAGGTGATAGCACCTTCCTCCAACTGCTGGATTTTTTCTGATAAAATGAGGTTTTCTTCCAGCACTCTGACCAGTTTTTGCTTCAAACTTTCCTTTAGATCAGTAAACAAAATACAAACACATTAAAAATCTGAAATTCTGAGGAGTGCTTTTAAAAGACTGAAAGAACCTGTCCTCTGTTTAGTGATAAGCTGAACGGAAGTCAACACCTTTCTCACTAGAATTTTAATTCATTGGTAAACATAGCTCAAGTGCAGCAAACAAATTTATCACATGGAGTTGGCTATCTTTCCTGTGAATTATCCACTACCCTTGCAGAACAAGTGGTTGTTTTGACAAGTGGCCAGCATTCTGAGTCACCTATCTAAAGTTTCTACAAACTGAACTTGATGTCTGTAAAGCCTCCAATGTTAAGAAAAGGAGAAAAAAGGCTTAAGGATATGAGTCCCTTCTTCGTCTCCCAGAGCCAACAGCCTGAAGCTCCAGGACTGGCCCCTGGCTCAGGGCTCTCTGCTCCCTCAGAAGGGAGGAAAGACAACCCCAGAGACATCTGCCTCCCCTCATCAGAATCAAACCATAACCTTCAAGAACATGATCCGAAACATTTTCACTCTAGGGTCTTTTTGGTTGTTTTCTTTTTCCATTTCAAGTCTTTCTTTAGAATTTTTTGATGAGGTCTAGGATTAAGGGCTCATCCCTTTAGAACAGCGGTTCTCAACCTTCCTAATGCCGCGACCCCTTAATACAGTTAGTTCCTCATGTTGTGGTGACCCCCAACCATAAAATTATTTTCATTGCTACTCTATAACTGGAATTTTGCTACTGGTATGAATCGTAATGTAAGTATCTTTTTGTTTTCTGATGGTCTTAGGCGACCCCTGTGAAAGGGTCGTTCGACCCCCAAAGGGGTCGCGACCCACAGGTTGAGAACCGCTGCTTTAGACCCTCTGAGTTGTCCCTGTCCTGGCAAATTCTGTGTTCCTGATTTGCCCAGACTGACTTTTCTGTATTTTGGTTCAGGAACATCTAAGTGTTCATGGTGATGATGATCTTTATGGCACAGAACTGTTCTAGTCTTGCTGCTCTGTCCTTTTCTAGTAAAGGAAGAGTAGGAAAGGAAGATGAGAGAGGCATACCATGTCATTAGGGACCACCTGCCCAGCCTCCTTCAGTTCCATCTCCCTCCTGCGGAAGGCTTTTGACGTGTCTTCAGGATGTGAACGACACCACTGCTGAGAAGGAGCAGGGACTACCAAAGTCAGAAGCAAATCTCGGGCAGGACCTGCCAAAAATTCAGGTTGGGCACACGGGCCAATCTTAAAAACTAAAGCACAGAATTCCTAGTCAATAACTACCAGCTCTGTAGGACAAAAAGGTAATCTAATATGTCCTTTTAACAAGAATTTAGTAAGTGGCTGTAAAAGATGTTTCACGATGGACAAGAAATTATATCCCACAGCCTCTGTGGAGAAACAACAGCAAAACCTTGTGAATGTGATCTGCACTATTTTCTGTTCACTAAGGAGTGTCTCCTGGGGATAATTTCCTACAAAATGAGAACAAAGGGTCAATGTGGGATGAAAAGTAATTTGGCTAAGACTTCTTCTCCTGAATGTCCCTTTAGAAAAAAAAAAAGTTAAGCCCAAACAAACTCTAAACAAACAAAGCTCTAAAGTTTCTAGTTTTGACTTAAACTTTTCCCACCACCTAAAAGCTCCTTGAATTCTTCTTCCATTAAATAACAAATAAACACCTGGGGACAATGTTTGCAAAACCGTTTTCCCCCAAGTTACTAAAAAAAGAAGCACTAACAAAAGTCCCGGTCATTTAGTCGTTTGAATTTTTCAAATCATAACATTTCAACAGGCATTCAGAACTCTGATGATCAAACCCAATTTCTATTGTATTTATTATTGGCAATTTCCCAAGGATCATGAAATCCTTTTGTCATCATTAACATGACCATGCTGTATTTTACATTATCTCATCATTCTACACACTCGTACTACCCAAACACTACCAAAAAATAAGTCACAGGAAGAACAAAACAATTGGTACATGAGGAAAGAGTGCTGATACATAAAACAAACAGGGAAGAAGATCATGAGAAAAATGCAGATTTGTCAATTACTGTGTTATTGACACATTTGGTAAGTGATCACGAGAATAGTTTTCCTTGCAGAGCAGAAGCAAGTTCAGAGCCCATCTCCTAGAAGTGAGAAAGCACTCACTTACCGAGAAACTTTTTGTTAAGGAGGAGAGAGCCGGAGCCGTTCCAGTGCTTATCCACAAGCTCCAGGAGCTGTCTGAGGACAGTGGCCACATGGGAGGTTCTGGCAGAGATTGGAGGACTGTGGTTTCCTGGCAAACCATGCAAACTGCCCAGGTCACTAGAGAGAGGCTCAAGAAAAAAAAACAAAACAGAAAACCCAACCATTTGTCATTCTTACACAATAAGGAAGTAAGAATCCAGACATTTAAAATGTTAACATTAAAAAAAAAAAAGATGATGTCATCTTTCAGTTTAGATTTGAATAGAATATTATTTATATCCAAGGGAAATGCAATAATATACTCAAAGATAATTTCAAAGGTAAATAGCATCTTCTATCACAATTCTCTGTTGAGATTTTTAGAAGAAAACAAAAAATGTTTTAATACCTACATCTATGGCTCAATATATTATATGCTATGTAATATAAAAAGATTAAACTGTAGAACATTTTTAAAAGTATTATATATCATAAAATAAAATGGGGAGTAATTTAATAAAAATTATAACTCATAATAAGCTTATATTTAGTACCTTAATATATACTAAATATAAATGTCCTAAAACATTTTAGATGTTAAATGTTATTGTTGGACCCAGTGTTAACGATGTTTTATTCAGTAAGAACCTTACATGTATAGATGTATAAGTAGATCTGTCCAGTAAAATTTATAAGTTTTAATCATTCATATACATGTCTATATATTTATTTACTCATGTCTGAATGAATAAAAAACAATTATGAACTTTACTTGACAGATCTATCTACAAATCCTTTCTGTAGGGTCTCATGGGCTTAAAGAAAGCTCACATATATTAAAAACAGCCAAATTATTTCTCAATCTTTGGTTCTCTTGATATAAAAAGCTACAGATGATTAATTAGCTAATGCTGCTATATCTGACAACCGTGAAGCAGAACATCAAAGACAGTGATATTTATGACTTGAGTCACACATGCGGCCTATGATAGGGAAAGGCATTACAAATGGGATAAACATTTCTTCAGCAGATCTGTACTAAGCACCAATCATATGCACTGAAAGTTCTGTATAAGGACTGTGAACATATGAAGAGGTAAAATATGAGGTCCTTTTTATGCCTCATGGAATTTTAAAATAAATTTTTATAATTTTTCTATGATTTTAAAGTCAGTTGGTAAAAAATAAATTTTCTAATCACAAATTCATGTTCAGTTTAATTTTGTGTATCATGGGATTATTTTTAATAACTCTTTAAATGCTCTTTTTAGCAATTTTCAAACTTACACCTTTCTAGAAATTGAACAGTATATTTCTTTTATATTTACATTCACGCATCTCTTTTATAGCTTTTCATATAAAGAAAAATACTATCAAACAGAAAAAAAGAAATGGAAGTTTATAAGTCCAGAAAAGTGCATTGAAATTCTAATTGCTATTTTAACAATATATATGAAAGAGGTGAAAAATTTCCTAGAACAATCTTATTAATATAGCACCCGAAATATCCTAAGTGTTACTTTGTACCTTTCACCTAAATACATTAACACACAGCAATCTTGTCTGGAAAAATAGGCATCCAGTGGCTGAAAATGGAAAAATGGGACCAAAAGCCAAGAAAATATTACAAGACTGCCCCCTTTGGTACACAAAAATTATAACCACCTCTGGGGTTTTGAAAACTGAATAGAAAGTATTTAGAGTAAAAAAAAAAAAATCAACCTTGCAAACCCATGCCAATATGCAAAAAGATTTCCCACAACTGAAAAATTAGTCACTAAAAATGTTTGTTTTTTACCAAATCCCTTGCTTCCTTACAGAGCAGTAAATGATTCAATAATAAATTATTCATTTGACAAAGAATCATGGGTTCAAGGAAAGAAAGATCCCTGAGAACCATAGTTCCTTAAAAAAAGGAGAAGACTTCATGATGGAAGTGGGGCCTGAAGAAAAATTAATATTCAAACAGACAATAGGAGAGTAGAAGGCATTCTTCATGGAGGCATAAATGCAAAAGCAGTGACAAAACTTAGGTACTCAGTAAAAATTGAATAATAATGAAGTTCTAGTATACAATACTATTTATTATACTACAATTTTATAATATAAAATGAATTATATTGTATATGTGGGAATGGTTCTTGATTTGTTGTTCATTCTCTGAACCACTCTCATCTAAAAATACTTTGGATAATCTAATTCATATTCTGCTTGTTGTTACTTTGGAAAAAAATGGAATAATTTTAATTTCTAGACAGAGAAGCAATGCTTTAGAAGAAAGGTCTCAAGCAAGTTAGTCACTTGTGGTCGAAGCAAATGTGTAAATATGATAAACATCAATGCTACAGAGATTACTCTTCAGCCAACCCTGAGCCTCTGGCAACTTCTGCATTCCTTCCTGTGGTAAACTCTGTCCACTACTGTTATTATCCAAAGTACTTCCCACCATGCTCATGCTCTGGGATTAGATTCTCTCTGGGACAAAAAATGAGGAAATGTAGCAGAAGGGGAATGAGTTCCCAAGGGCAGAAGAATCACAGGCTATAGCCTGGCAGTACTGACCAGTGGCCACTGAAAATCCCTTTGAATTTCTAGCACTCTTGGTCAGAACCACCACCACCCTCAACAGAACCTCATTCTGGTCTTGCATCTGAGGTGTTTCTTGCACAAGCCCAAACAAGCCAACACTTGCCTCGTTGCCTGTAGCATCTCTGAAGCCATGCTTTGGATTCAGGGTGGCAAGGATATTGTCCTTCCGTTTGAATCCTCTCCTTGATGGGCTTAATGACCTTTTGGTCAAATTCTCTCTGTTTTCTGAAGTCCCAGTAGGCAACAGCAGTGTCCGTAGAGAGTCTCCCAGGATGCAGTTGTTTGGGAAGGAGCCATGTGCTGGTGTTACATCCCCGAGGCTGGCAGATAACTGTTGCTCTACATTGACCAGCAGAGCAGGGTCACTGTTGAAATGGGTTGTGGCATACAGATCTGTGAAGGAAACAGGCTGGGAGATGAACCTGCCCTTCAACTCTCTCATGCCTCACTTCCACCTTTAGCTCACTTGGGGTCCAAGGGTCATAATCACCTCTCCCTAGTATACACCCTCAACTCTCTGGATCCTTTCTCTCTTCCTCCACCTGACAAAACCCTAAATCTGGTTAAGTCCACATACTCCAAGCCTATACCAGAGCAGTGGGAAGTGGCTGGAGAACAATTTGCATCTCTTTTCACCGTCTTCGCTTTAAACCCATGACCACTATCTTAACTGGGCCCTTATACTGCCCAGCTAACCTGATACATTACTCTAGTCAATTTACTTTTCTATTCTCTGAGATGACTATTTCACGTCTCTCTTCTCCTCAAACTTCCAACACCTTCTCCTTCCTCACTCTCAGGTGCTGACCTTTGTATTTCCCTGAGTAAAACAGAAGCAATCTGTGCTTCATCTAAGGCCAACCTCTCCACTGGTGGACTGGACTCTACCTCCTAATTACCCAAGAATTTGTTTTTCTTGTAATTGTCCCTTTTCTCTCCTGCATCATTAATTTTCCCTCTACTGGATCATTTTTACCACAATTTCCTTGATCCCATCCTCCTCCAACTATAGTTCCAATCCTCTGCTCCCCTTCATTGCAGAAGTCCTTGAAAGGGTTGTATATTTTCAGTAACTCTATTGCCTTTCTTCCAATTCTTTCTCAAACTCCCCTCAATAAGGCTTTTATTAACCACAAGTCACCTGAAACTGCTCACAAATGCATTGCCAAATCACTTCTCAGTCTCAGGCTTACTCCCGCTCATTTGAAGACATCTGACACTATATTGATTGCTTCTTTCTTCTTGAAACATATTCTTCACCTGGCTTCCAGGACACCACTCCCTCTTGGATTTTTTTCTCCTACCTTACTGGCTGCTTCTTTCTTACTCATCATGCTGGTTTCTCTTCATATACTGGATTTCTAATTGTTGAAGGGCTCAGAATTAGTTGTTAGATCTCTTCTCTATGTATATTCACTGCCTAGGTGAGATCTTATCCAGTCTCAGTTTTAATGCCATCCATACAATTTTAATTCCCTGAACTCAAGGTTAATACATCTAATTGTCAAATAGCATCTCTGAGAAGTTTTAATAGGCACCTCAAACTTAGGATGTCTAAAACCGAATTCTTGATATCTACCCTAAAATCTGATTGTCCTACTCTTTTCTATCTTAGTAAATAAATAACTCCAACTTTCTAGTTACATAAACTCAAAAACTGGGAGTCATCCTTGACCTTTTTTCTCTCACACTTCACCCTCAATCCATCAGCAAGTCATGAGACGTTGTCTTCAGAACACATTCACAATCAATACTTCTCAGCACACCTCCACTGATCTCTCTCTAGCCCAAGCTACCATCACCTCTTATCTGGATTCTAACCTTTAAAATGGTTTTCCAAATTTCTACCTTTGCTCCTGATTTTCTACAGTAATTCTGAAATTAGATCATGTCACTTCTCTGCTATAAACTGTCCGATAGCTTCTGGTCTCACCCAGAATAAAAGTCTGACTTTCTGACTTCATCTACACACTTCACCTCGCTCACTCTGCTGCAACCACACTGGCCTCCTTGTTGTTTCTTGAACAAGCCAAACATGTTCCAGCCTCAGAAACTGCACTTACTATTTCCATTGTCTAGGAAGTTCTTCCCTAGTTATCCATATGGCTTATACTTTCACTTCATTCAAGTCTCTACTTTTATTATATCTCATCAGAGACACTTTCTTTGACCATCCTATCTAAAACATCACCTCCTCCTTATTATACTTTATACCCTTATTTTATTTTTTTCACAACATTTATCATAACCTCACATAAATTTCTATGTTAACTTATTTATCATCTGTCTTACCTCTTTAGAATGGAAGCTCCATGAAAGCAGATATTTTTATATATGGAATTTTATTTTTATTTTCTACTTTATCTGCAGAGCTAGAACAATATCTGGCACATAGTAGGTATTCAATAAATTTTATTTTAAAAATTAATAAATAACTGAAGAGTGGTCTCTAACACCCTAAAACTAGCTTTTTCTGAAAAAGTAACTCAGAATAGAAGGCTAAATGCTACTAGAAATTTGTCTTGGGATTCTATTTAACTAAAATAATATATATGAAGCTCACATCTACAATATATTTCTATAATATAAGTTCACATTTCACTAATATACCTATCATGTTAAACTCATAACCTGCAGATTTCTGGAGGTTCCATGGACCACTGGTAACTCTGAAATATTTAAGAAATACTAATGCAAATTAAGAAATGTTAATTCCAAAACTTCAGTTATACCTTCCATCTTCATGCCTGTGAAAAGGCCTATAAACTGACAGGCAGCTATTACCTGAACTCAGCTTCAAAAGCCTTCCGGTGCTGGAGTCAGGGTTTGACAGAGAAGTCAGTAAGTCTCCACAGGAATGGGATGTGGTAGCCTTCATTTCATTTGAAGGCTTTATGCTATGTTCTCGGTAGTTCTTGCTTCTCTGAGGCCTTTTACAAAGACTTCCATGCAGGGATAGAGTTTGAGAATAATGATTATCATAATTTTCCAGACCAATATCTGATGGTAACTGATAGGGATGAATCTGGCTAGAATCACCCACATCCAGGCGTTTACCCAATAAGGCATCATGGGTAAGCTGATAAGTATCAGGTTTCGTTATCAAGTCCTTTTCTGGAGAAGAACCTGAAGACTTCTTCTCCAAAAAAGATATTCGGTGCGCTTCTCTAGCCATCTTCTCTGGGGATCGGACTGTGGACTGGCGAGGTGAGTAGTGTCTGAATTCTAACCACCAGCAAGGAAAAAAAAAAAAAAAAGAACAAAATACAATGAGAATTCTTCCTGGCCCAGTTAGGGTACCTCTGTATACTGGACATAACTCTGTCTACCAGAAAAAGTTTTCGAGAAGAGATGGTTTATAATTTTGATAAATGGTAGCATAAAGTGATGAAAGGACTTCTACATGGAACAACAACAAAAAAGGTGTTGGATAGTGTGTAAACAGTGAAGAATCTATAACGTTTTGCAGGTAAATTTCATGTCAACCTAATCTTCTTGGAATCTCCTCTTAAAATTGTAGTGTCAGAGTTTTCTAGATGTTATTTTCATATAAAAAACTTGGTGCACCCCCACATGACAATAGTTGTTTTCTTATGTATTCAGTCTACAGACAATAGTTGGTAGGTCTGTGATTTCATAGATTCCTCGCAATGAAGCTAAATGCACTCCCATCCCCAAACTTCACCCAGAGGTTTTAGGTTTACACATTGAGAACTACTATTATAAGCCAATTAAATGACAAGGAATGCAAAACCTGTGAAAATTCCTAACCCAGCTATAAAGCACTTCTTTCAGACAGCTCTATCATCTTCCAAAAACCTCAGAGTGGAGCAAGCTGAGAAGCAGACCGAAAAAAAAAGCCTTTGTGTTCTTTGGGGCTTTCAGAACTGCATATGCTTAAAGGGCTTCTCTAGGAACTAAAAAATACTGTATCTGAGTTAGTCACATTACCTTTAGAAAAGTAGAACCAAGTATAGCTCTATAGGACTTATAAGAATATCATTGTTTTACTTAGGGTCAGCTTACACAGTAGGGACAAGGCTGTAGAACAATATCTTTACATAATAAAAAGAATCTAAGAACAAGTAATGAGATTAGTAATTGAGACTTCCTACTGTTCAAGAAGTTAAAAAAGTGGGGTGATATATGTTCTTAAAAGCATCAAAGAGCTAATGAGCTGGTGAGGAATTTCTAGGCCAAACTCTGGGAAACAGCAAGAACTCATATAGGTAAGTCTAGCATTTAAAGTCACTTTTACCCTACGGAGTTTTAGGGTGACAGGTATAGAAGCCCAAGTACAAGACCCATCCACGGTGAGGCATACAACAAACCACCTCACGGTCCACATTAGATGAAACCTTGAGCAGGATACAACCTTCAGAGTAAAGGCAAAATAAAAATAAACCAGCCCCTGTACTGACTGGTAATCCAAGTTTGCATTATCTGGGTGGTCCTTAGTCTTTGAGCTTAGATCCCGGGGTAATAGTACCTCAGGCACCTGGTAGAAGCAAATGAAACCCTGATCTGGAAAAGACACCCTCATTCAAGACTTTAAATCATTCCTACAAAATAGTTTTTCAAGTATAATAGCCAGTAAATAGCTAACACAAACAATCAAAAAAGGAAATAAGACAACACAAGTGAGAATGAGCAGAAAAAATAGACAACAAACACAGACCCAGAAAAACTTCAGATATTGGAATTAAGAGATGTAGCCTATACAACAGCTATATTTACTATGTTTGAAGAAATATAAAACAAGCTGGAAATTTTCTGCTTATAAAAAAATGACCCAGCATATATGAAAAAGAACCAAAATCAAGTTTATAGAACTGAAAAATAAAGCAATTGAAATTAAGAATTCAGCAGCAGCAGATTAGACACAGCTGAAGATAATGTTAGTGAACTTAAAGATGAGTCAGAAGGAATTATCCAGGATGTAGATCGGACAAAAAAAGATGAAAAATACAAAAGAACAAGAAAACAAAGAGGACAAAGTGAAAATCTCTGACATATATTTATTTAATCAAAAGTCCCTGAAGGACAAGAAAGAGAAAATTGGACACAAACAATATTTGACACTTCCCAGAACTAATGGGACACAATTCACAACACAAGTGTAATAAATACCAAACAGGATAAATAAAATAAATCATCATGACAAAGTGAAACTACAGAAAACCAAAGACAATTGAAAAATCTTAAAAGCAGCTAGAGAAAAAAAGACAGATTATCCTTGCAGGAGTGATAGACTTCCATCTGACTTCTCAAAAGCAACCACAAAGATAAAATACAGCGAAATACCTTCAGTATTCTGCCAACCTAGAAATTTATTTCCAGCAAAAATACCCTTTAATAATGATGGTGAAATAGGGGCATTTTCAGACAAACAAAAAATGAAAGAGTTCATCACCCGTAGACCCATACGAAAGGAAATTCCAAAAGATGTACTGTAAGTTAGAATAAAATGGTCTCAGAAGGGAAACCTGGAATGAAAAAAGAAATGAAGAACAAACAAAATGGTAAATACATGGATAAGTTTAAATGAACATTGACTGTATAAAAATACTATCTTGTGGGTTTTTAAAAAATATAGAGAATTAAAGCCCATAATAGTAATACATAAATCAGGAGGGATTAAAAGGAATAAAGTACTTTAAGGCATTTGAATTAGCCAAGAGTTAAGATATTGATTAATTTTTAAGTTAATCAATAAGTTATATAAGTTAAGGACACATATTGTAGTTTTGGGAATAATACTAAAAGCATAGAAAAAGGCTATAACTTACAAACCAGTAGAGAGAAAAATGGATGAATAAAAACATAATAATAAATCCAACAGAAGGCAAGTAAGACAAAGAAAAACGGAATGGTCAGCCAACACAAAAAGTCAAGAACAAAGGAAGTCAGAATGCCCACGCCTTAATTAGAAAGGCCTTACAGCACTAAGCACCCAGAGGAGCCCCTCACAAAAGCAGAAAAGAGTAGGTTGACCACATAGGGCCCCAGGGCTGAAACATCTCCATCTTCTCCCAAAACCCATCACATCTAGGTTTCTCTGATTAGTGTGGTGAAAAATACTCAGTGACCAAAATATTTACCATCTTCCTGGTGATTATCACTTGGCATCTCCCTTCTTGCCACTTCTTGCATCTAAAAAAAGTTTGAAAGTTCAGGAGAAGGCGAGTTTATTACACCGGGGATTCAGAATACTGTCCTATTAGTGAGCAAGTCCATCCTTGCAAACTAGGGAAACAGACTTTCAAGCAAAGGTCCAGATTTAAGCTTATTTTAAAACAGCCACAATACAAAGTTTCCACAGTTGCTTTGGAATAGGTAAGGAGACCCTTTGAAAATACAAAATATCCTTAGCTGGTAAAGGACATACCAGTTGAGTACTATATTCTCTCTGCTTTAGATAGCCACCCTTTCCACTTTTTTTTTTTTCTGTTTGAAGAACTCCCGTACTTATTTTACCTTCTGGTAAATTTGGTATCGACCACAGGAGCTACTGGGAGATTTAATAGGCTAAAAATTAATCTGAGGCATAAGTAAGCAAAGATTGATACAAAATAGGAAGCCATTGTAGGGTTTGCTTTTGCAAAAATCATCTTAAAATATTCCGTATTTTTTTTTGGTAGCTATGCAGAGACAGAAATCCCACTTCCTATTTCTTAAATGAAAAGGATACACAGTAAGCTATTCAATTTCCCTTTTTCTTTCACTTCAAGAAGTAATTTCAAAGAAGTTGGGGTTTTTTCTTTTAATCTAAAAAGAGCTATTTGACTTTAATTGTAGATTGGAGTATCCTTTGTCTCCATCTCCTTTAAATCAACACTGAGGTACTAAAAATGGGAACTGAAATAGTTTCTAAGTCACTGAAGTAGAATCTTTAAAAACAAAGAAACCAACTAAATACTACTCTATCTTTTCATAAGATGAAGATATTATATACTCAAACTAAAACAATGTCACCAATTTTTTACTAGTACAGTGTTGATTACCCAAATTGTAGATTAATCAGTCTTTGCTTTTTTTTTCTTTTCTCCTTCTGGCTATTTTCAGCAATTTCATTGCTCATAATTTATCAAAAAAATGTAGACAAAGGAGAAGTTGAATATAAAGAAATCAATTCTGCATTATATTCACTCATAAAAAATATGTCTTATATATAATGATTGTATCCCCTCCCATCAATTTCTTTCACTAAAAACTTTTAAAAAGTATTTCCCCCATCTTGCATGATTTCTACCTCCCCATTGCCCACAGCTTCTATGCCATCTTTACCGGTTTTCTCTTTTTCTTTTTTCCCAATGAAGAGGTCTTTGGGAAAGCCACCCCTGAGATGTAAGATTCAGTAATTAAAAGGCAGAGGTAGAAAATGTAAGAAGCAAGGTAACAGGAGATGGAGACATTAGGTAGAGAGGAGACATTTTAAAACCCGCCAAAAAATTGTAACAGTTGTATCCCTGTTTGAAGGCCAAAATAGCTGGCATAAAATGTGCTAAAGTTATATGTACAAATATACTACATTTAATAACAGGTTAGTGGGGGGAGAAGAAAAGGGGGCATTGAAATTAAGGCAGAAGGTCCTTTGCATCCTGTCTTGCCTTTTCCTTTTAAAGGGTCTAAAATGCCTTAATCAAAAAGTCCTTTTAGGCCTTCAGAAATAATTGAGAGTCCACGGAATTACTAGTGTTAATCACGGACTAGTCAACAGATCAGCAGGAAAGCGAATACGTTACCTGTGTCCCCAGTGGGGAAGTATCTAATTTCTGATCTGGTATACAGTTGCCTTGGGTTGTAGAAGTGCTCATTAGGGAATCCTTTATTTCCCGGCTGGGGAAGGGAATAAAAAGTCCTTTGTTTGAGTCTGTGTTAAAAAAAAAGAAAAAAAAAAAAGAGGCATACAATGAAGCACTGACCAGATATCAAAGCCAACATGTCTTATGGAAAATACTAGAAGGGAAGTCACAAGTGAGAGCTAGTTCTGGTACCATCACTTGGAAACCATACATACTTGGGCAAATTGCTTAACTTCTCTGAATCTTTCACCTCATTTGTATAACAGTGAAGATAAAATGTAAACTGCCTATCTCTTAGGGTTGAGGTGATATTAAAACAAGATAATGGGTATGAAATTACTTCATAAATTGTGAAATGCTCAATAAAAATTAAGAAGAAGGCAAACATTTTGCATATATCCTAAGTGATTAATAATGAAGTTTGAGACCAATTCAATAACCTCCAGCTACAGAGGCAGATGGCTGGGAATAGACTCCTGACATCACATATGTCCCAGGCTCTTATCAGCAGTCTGCAGTGATTCGTCATTTCAAACCAGCCTTTTTTTGCCTTGATTTCCTCATTTGAAAAAAGAAAAAGACTAATCAGGACCTATTTCAAAGAGAAGAATGCTAAATGCTTAGGTCTCCCAGTATTTTTTGCCTATGGTTAGAGAAACGACTTTAAAAATAAAAAGGGAAAGCAAATAAAAACTTTATTCTAGTCCTGGCCACTCTGGAAACTGTAATCAAAAAGAGCTAGCTAGGATTTCCATTAGATTATAACAGTTGTACAAAAATTTTTGTATATTCTTGATCAATGCTTATTAATTGTAGAATTCTGGGCTTTGGGGTCTTCTGGGGGAACTTGAATGAAAACAAGAGTTTGTTTGTTTGTTTGTTTGTTTGTTTGTTTGTTTGTTTGTTTGTTTAGGGAGGTTTCTTTCCTAGCAAGATTGTGTAAAAATTAAGATAGTTTAAAAAACTTGGGCCTTAATCCCTTCTGCCCTTCTGCTAGTTCTCATCTGCAGGCTCTGACAACAAAAAGCTACTAGAAGTCAGGGCAAGGGAGAACATAGAGTGAATAACGCCAGCCTTTTGAAAATCCAGCCCCTCAGTCCATTTGGGGTTCTAAAATGCTTCCTATTTCTGAGTTGCCTTCTGGGGCCGAAATGTACTACTTCACCACAAGATGCTCTTCCACCATTGTACTTGACAGAACCACTTTCCTCAAAGTGACATAAGTTCTCAAAGTTTATGTTCTCTGGTTCCTATCACAGTAGTAACAGATAAAACAAGGTGAAGCAGAAATTGCTGGTGTTAACCTGATTCTTAGCAAGAAAATGAGAATGGTTACTGAGCTGTGACTTTGGGTTCCGGGTTCCTCTTACCCTTACCCTACAGAACAACACTTACACTTCCCAGTATCCAAGACATTGCTCCATCCCAGTTTTCCTCCTGCTGCGTTAGTGTTCTTTTCTGGATGCACAGGTTCTTTTTCTTTCAACCTATTTCTTGGTACAAGCAAATCCATCCCCCAAGGTCCAAACTCTTTGCTGAACGCTATCATACCTTCTCTTTGGTTTCAGCTATCACCAAAATTTGACGACCCTAAATCTAAATCTCTTAACTCTGATTACTCTTTTGCTATCCAGACCTAAGTTTCTTGAACTGTGCCCCACAGATTAAAAAGCTGGTATTTTCTAAGCCAAACTCATTAAATCTTCACTTCCAGGCCTATTTCTGTTGGTGGCCCCCACCTCTACCCCCAACCCCCATCTTAATATTAGCATTACTGTTCACCCAATCCTGCAAGATAGAAACTTGTTCTTTGACTCTCACTCATCTCAAATCTCAATCAATTACCAAGTCTTTTGGAGGGGGAAATCTCTATTTTAATTGAGGTAAATTCATATACCATACAATTCACCCCTTTACAGTGTACAATTCAGTGATTTTTAGTCTATTCACAAAGTTGTGCTACCATCATCGCTGTCTAATACCATCACCCCAAAAGAAACCCATTAGCTATCACTCTCAATTCTCTCCTCCCCACCAGACTTTCAACTATCAATATACCTTCTGATCCTATGAATTTGCCTATTCTAGACATTTCATGTAAATGGAATAATAAAATATTTGACCTTTTGTGTCTGGTTTCTGTCACTTAACATGATGTTTTCAAGATACACATTGTAATATGTATCAGTAATTTGTCCCTTTTTAGGGTGAATAATATGCCTTATATGGATATACCATATTTTGTTTATCCATTCATCAGTTGATGGGTTTTTTGGCTATAACGCTGCTTTTATTCCTGTACAACTATGTTTAACTTTTTCAGAAGCTGCCAAATTGTTTTCCAAAGAAGCGATACCATTTTATTTTCTATTAGCAATATGTGAGGGTTCCAATTTCTCCACATCTTTGCCTTCACTTGTTATCTGCCTTTTTTATTCTAGCCATCCTAGTGGTTGTGAAGTGGTATCTTCTTGTGGTTGATTTGCATTTTCCTAATGGATAGTGACATTGAGTATCTTTCATGTGCATGTTGGCTAGTTGCATATATTCTTTGGAGAAATGTCTATTCAATCCTTTGCCCATTTTCTAATTGGGTTGTCTTTTTGTTATCGAGTTGTAAGAGTTCTTTATATAGAATGAATACTAGATTCCTGTTAGATATATGATTTGCAAATATTTTCTCCTATTCTGTGGGTTGTCTTTTTGATAGTGTCCTTTGAAGCACAAAAGTTATAATTTTTATCAAGTCTAATTCATCTACTTTTCCATTGGTTGTTACGCTTCTGGTGTCATATCCAAGGTATAGGCTCACTCTTAACAAAAAGAAAACTGACGGGGGCCGGCTGAGTGGCTCAGTTGGTTAAGAGCTCGCTCAAGAGTTTGAGCTCTGAGCAACAGCGGTTCAATTCCTGGCTCAAGCTGAGCTGCTGCTGAGCTGCCAACAGGTAGCAGGATGGCTCAGCTAACAAAAAACAAAAAACAAAAAAAAACTAATGACTCGCTCTGCTGCCATTATGACTAAGCATGTCATTTACCACAATTGAAAAAAAATCAGGAAAAAGAAGCAGTTTGCATTTTGAGATAATTTTTTTTCTTGTCTTATACTTCATTTTCTTCAGATGTAAAAGATACCCAGCACTTAATTCCAAAAGCAAATGTAATTATGACATTGTCCAGTCCAGGTTTTTATACCCACATAACCAATGTGATAGAACAATAATTCAACAGATTTTTACCACTGAAAACTGCTTGATATTTGTAATGACAGAGAAATGGCTTTATAATGATAGTTATAAAGAACTAATAGTTGGCTACTTCAACTACCAGTAATCATAGGTGGATGAGGCCCTGCTTCACATGTTTGTCAAAAATCATGCAATCCAAATGAGGTTGAAACAGATGCACTGCCCAGATCCCTTCAAAGGAAGGACTTGTTACCCAGATCTGGGCAACAAGAGCTGTTTTGCTCTTGAGTCTGTCTCAGCTATCGAGAACTACCTCTTGACGTCATGCCTTTCCATAGGTGGCCTACATCCAGTGACTGAATGAGGCCCAGGCATTTGCCTGGTATGGGACAGTCTCAGGAGCAGTCCTCACTCAGATCGCTCCCTCTGCTCAACCTTTCTTCCTCTCTTTCCTTTTGGTGCTGATCTCTAATAAATATCTGTACTTTAGATTCAACTAAGACAAATTTTTAAGAGCAGAAATGACTTGTCTAGCACTGGTCTCCAAAATAAATGAAGTCTTGAGCCATTTCAAGTTGCTAATCCCAATGAAAAATCAACTTCATCCCTGAACTTTTGAAATATTAATACATGATAACCATTGCAGATAATCATGAAAGGAAATCAGTGATTTTTATCCCACAATTAACAAATTGCCTGTAACCTTAGTAAACTTGTATTTTTTCCCCTTAAATATCTGATATGTCTTTTATTCAGAAATTCAGCTCTTCACCCTGGCAAAACAGTGCAGGTAAAAATACTTAATGTGTTAGCTCCAGGTTTTCTTCTCATATTCTCGAGAATTTAATCGACCTCTACTTCCTCATTTGCATTCACACTTCCTCATATTACTACCCTACATCATGCAGGCCCTCATTGTCTCCCACTTGGACAACAGCCTCCAGTTGCTGCCCATCTAAATCTAGCTTGAGTTATCCCCCTAAATCACACATTTAAGCATGCCTCCCATCTAAAACAAACACCTTTGTTACCATTTTCAAGAGAATAAAATGAAAATGATTACTAGAGAGGCCCTTTGCAACTTGGGTTTTAGTCTAGCACAGCGGTTCTCAACCTGTGGGTCGCGACCCCTTTGGGGGTCAAACGACTCTTTCACAGGGGTCACCTAAGACCATCGGAAAACAAAAAGATATTTACATTACTATTCATAACAGTAGCAAAATTACGGTTATAGAGTAGCAACGAAAATAATTTTATGGTTGGGAGTCACCACAACATGAGGAACTAACTGTATTAAGGGGTTGCGGCATTAGGAAGGTTGAGAACCGCTGGTCTAGCACCTTAGCTCCAGCCACAAACTGAATCACTTTCCAAATCACTTTCCAAACAGCAGTAGCAAAACATGTGTGTTTTGCTACTGCTGTTCTCTCTGCATTGAATGCCCAACTCTGCACACTAAATTCTATTTGAATGCCCAATTTACATGTTTCCTCTTCTGTGAAAGCTTTTTTAAGGCCCCCAGCTAATACGAACTACTATTGCCTATCCCCTATAGTATTTTTTTTAAAGATTTTTATTAGGGAATTGGGGGATGGGAACAACGCTGGGGAGTTGGTGGAAGGGGAACAGACAAGGGAACAGACAAGTTGCTGTCGTTTTGTTCTTTAGTCTAGTTATGGAGGACATTGCTTCACTGGCCCAAGTTGGCATCATCATTGCGCTCTTCCCAGGCGAGGCAGATCAGTCGCCAGCTTCTGGACAGCCGCTCACTGGGGCTGCTGGCTACACACGGTAGCTGCTGGCTACACATGGTAGCCCATGGCAACCCAGTGCAGCAGGGGTTGCAACCTACGCCGTAGCCGGCAACTCATGGCAACCCAGCT